GTGTGTGTGTGTGTGTGTGTGTGTGTGTGTGTGTGTGTGTGTGTGTGCGTGTGTGTGTGTGTGTTTGTGTGTGGGCCCGGCTGTGAAAAATAACGTAATTCAATCTTTTTGAGTTGTTACACTGAGAAGATTTTGAGTCCAAGAATGAAATCTGTTTGAGAATATTAAACAGCATCTTCTGCAAGGCACTGTGACTGCAAACACGTTCACAGTTTACTAATATTTTCATACAGGTCCTAATATAGTATATTAAATGCCATATACTGAACTAACTTAAGGGAAAAGTGTGGACCATGTGCAGTATTTGGGGAGATAGTCTGACTGTATATAGCTTTTCTCTGATCCTATCTTGGCTCCAGCAATAGCACTGAAACCTCCCTTGAGACACATGAAGTGTTTTTGGTGTTATTTATTTTAGGCTTCATATTTCACCCTCTGAATGTTGCACAGCTGAGCTCTGTTCAGATAAGCTGTCAAACTCTACTGTTCTTTAGTTTATTTTTGGAGTCAGTTTTTTTTGTATCTGTTTTGTTCTTTCTTTTTTTCAGTTTACAGAGTGTAATAGTTCAGCCAAAAGTGACTTAAATAGACTCCCAGCAACTCAGTGGCTAAAAGGACAATTAGAGTTTATACAGCAGTTTTAATTCCGTTAATTCTATTATTATCAGGTTTTTAGACTTTCATCACAGAAAAACTGGCCCCAATCTAAATCTTCTATATAAAACAGGATTTGCATGTTGAGGTCTGTGTCAGATCCTGTACCCAATAACACATACTCTACCATTAAAATTAACCTGTATTGCTGTGATACCAGGTATAATACATGATAAAACTCAGTGACCTTTATCAACCTTGTCAACTTTCTCAGAGTTAAGTCTCAAAACAACATCTTTTTTGGGAGTGAGAAAAATTCAAAAAATGCAAAGCTCCTGTATTAATTCATTTAAAGTGATACAAATGGACACTTCTTATGACAGTAATGAATTGACCCACAAAACATTCTGTGTAAATGGAAATGCAAATTATTTGGACTGTTGAGGTTTTGGAGAAATGATAGTCATACATGAAGATTGCTCATGAGCTCCTATACTTTGGCCTTGAATTTAATTTTGCCAGAGTTTTTTCTCCTGTATCTCCCCCGCTCTAAGTTTGTAAATTGTATGTCCAGTTACATTCAGAAGAATAAAAACGATGCATATTAAGTTAGTTATACAATGTAGAGTATGTACGAGAAAACAATACACTTAAACTGTAGAAGTAAAATCATGCACCTTGACTGTTTTCAGCTCAGTTCTTTAGAAAACACCAAACTATCACTCACAGACATTCAGTGTATTTTACACACTCATACACAGTATTGCTTCTAGGTTGAGATGCTGTAAAGTTACATGTTTCTAGTACATCTGTGACAAGACACAATACAGAACAAACATTTACATTTTCTCTCACTCCAAACAAGGCAGGCCAGACTATATCCATGTTGTACAATTATTAAATATAATTGCGTATAAAGTCACTGTTTCTGAGTCCATGCATTTGCTGTGTTTTTAAATAATCAGTTCCATCGTCCAAGTCCAGATTTCTCAGTCTTCCTAGATTGATGTGACCTCTGTTATTTCCTCAAGATAAAATATTTCTTAGCTTTCTTTTTTCTTTTTCAGCAGCAGTCAACAATAAGTCAGAGCTATAAAACAGACCTTTCACTATTGTTTTATTTCTACACATCCCTAATTGATTTGTTTTGTGTTGAATTTTAGATTCATTTAAATTATAGCTTAATTAATTTATATTTATGTATTCAACATTTGCTTGCATGATGTTAAGAGTTATTTATAATAAATATCTATATGATGAATAAATATAAATGAACACCTTATTTGTGTATTTGTCTGTAATATAATTCTTTACAATAGATATAAATGAAATACTGCTTACTCATCACAATAGCTAAATATAACTCACTGCATGTTCCAATTGTGTGCCATCAATAAATAAGTTGCATTCTTTATTTACATTACATATTAATCAATTCAACTGAACATTTATAAAATGTACAGTTTTGCTGTCTGTATCATTGGAAACCCTTCTTGAGTTATGCTATTTACATGATTTTCTTTGAATACAGTTTAAGTGTACACCAAACACACTAGTCAACAAAAGCAGGAAACATTTTCTGTCCACTAAATGTAATTGTGAGTGTGTTATGGGGTGTTTCGCCTTAATCAGAGGTGGGCCAAAATACTACAGCTGACATCATGTGGCCAGACTACATACAGTTAGACCACCTACAGGTCATCAGACTCTGGGATTTGAATGGGCTCCAGGGTTACAGTGGGTATGATCAGATGGGTGCCCTCAGATATCCACCCTTGAGCCGACCTATTAAAGGTGGGTCGCTTCATTCCTGGCTCCTCCAGCTCTAGGTACCTGGGCGGGTTCAGGTCCACCTCTGGGAGCTTGAATGTGATTCCTCTGGGAGCTTTGTCAAAGCCACCAAAAGGAGTGGCCACCCTGTAATTGACATCAAGTGTGAATAGTTCCTCATTGTTGTACTGATGTAGTAATTGACTAAAACGTGCTCATATTGTCGTTTTCTCACCGGTTAAAGCTTTTGTACTCAGGAAGGTCTGGTCGCGGATCAGGTCCTGACATTGTCAGTTTGAGTGTTTCGGCGAGGTCGGGGTCACTGAGGATTGCCTGATCCCATGGGGAGTGGTAGGACTTGGGCATAGCTGTGGCTGTTAACTTCTCTTCAGTCATGTCTGTCAAGGAGCAAACAAAAACAGAGAGACACCATTAGATTGTTCCAACATTGCAGCAGAATGATCTGATGGTTTAGTTTGCAGTTCACGGGTTAATGTTGAGCTTTTTTCTTCAACCTTTTTGAGGGGAGGCTAAAGTTTTAGAATGGATTATGAATAGAGTCTGTGCTTAGGGAACACTTATGGGCAGACTGAGTTGTCCGTCATTGAGTTCTGAGGCCTAAAAATAGCACATAGTTGAAGTGTGCACTCATCATATTATGTGTCAACGTGGGATGACACCCTACTGGAGGGTTTTGGAATAAGTACTGGACTCTGTCGGCTTATTAAAGTACAATATCATAAAATAAAGCATTTAAAGTTTCTCAGGTTGTAATATGAATCATGGTATCAAACAACTTAAGTTAATGCCATGAAACAAGACCAGCAGTTATGACTGTATGCTGTATGATACATTATTATGATCATTATCATGACAGCATTACATAATCAGTCACTGTTATTTGACTCTGCAGTATATGCAGTATTTATTTTTTACTGTTTTAAAGTGGATGACATAATAGATTTAAAGTAGGAATGATTTCCAAAGACCAAATCTAATGTTAAGGTTTGTATTTATTTTTACATATGATTAAGATAATTTTTGTTAATGGTTATATGTTATTGCTTCATATTGGCCTCAATGTAAACATACTGAAGAGCATAATTACCTGAAATAGTGATTTCTGGATTAGCAGTATTTCCATCGGCTGGTGCGTCCACTTTAATTTCCACAGTGTGTGTATTCTGAGTTAAAATATCATTCTGCAAAATGCAATTAAATTATAGTTAATATATTGGTTATCAACTGAGCAACAAAAAGTGAAGCTGGCACATCTACAGCTGCTCTTGTGTTCCATGCACTCAGGTACACACGCACGCACACACACACACACACACACACACACGCACACACACACACACTTATAACTACAGGGTGTGCACACACACAGAAACACATCAACAGGCACTGATAAAGAGGGGAGCAGCTCCTCAGCAAAGGGCCTGAGTAGCTCTCAGAAGATTTGGCTGCATGATGTACAGTAAAAGGCACTTGTCTTTGTTCTTCATCCGTGCTTTGTAACAGTTTTAGATACATTTGCTTAATGAGACCATTCAACACATTTTCAAGCAGACGCCACTTAATGCCAGAACTCCTGAACGCATTCAAACGTATATATGAAGTGACTTAATACAAGTTGACTTACATTCAGCTGTGTGTTTGCCTCATTTTGTATACTTTCAAATGTATATTTATCAGATCTCCTCTGGCGCATTTTGAAAAGCCGGGAACCTCTGTTGGAAAGCAATGATAACTCCTCCAACATAATGTCTTTAGGAGTGCTGAGCTTCTTTCCGAGATCGATTACGTCACCTGTTGAGAAAAATAATATACATAAAGATGAAGATAAGGAGGAAAAGACTAATCTGTATAATGTGCAGATTTAGACTGAAATGGTGAATGACTTTAATCTAATCCCTGTTTCTTAGAATGGTCCTGTGTCAAAAATATCTTGTTTTAATACCGTTAATGCATCAGTTGATATTATACTTATGGACATATTCTTAAATAAATTGTATATAATCTAACTATGACTAACTTGGGAAGGGGCTGGTTTTAGAGTTGGTTTTAGAGCTGGAACGTGGTGGATACACAATATAAATATACCCTGATATCATTTTGTCAGATGGAAAGGTTTGGGGGAGGGGTCCATAAATGACATCAAAGTTGTCACAAAATTAAATATTTTCCATTTTGTAAGCCCTGTCATGGAAAATGTGTTATCATTGTACTTGAGAATTAGTTTTGGATGGACATGATGCTTCCTCGTCTGCCACAACAGTCGGTATGTACCCCAGCTGTCACAAAGCTTCACTTTATCCAAATGGCTACACACAGTTGTCCCTCACTTCTTCCCTCCCCTCTCCAGAAATAGACTTTTGTAAAGGACAACGACAAAGGATTAGTCACCATAGGTAGTAGATCATCCCATTAGCTTATTTATGGCAAAGACTGGAGTGTAGCCCTGACATTTTCAACCCAGATCACAATGGATATTATCTTGCAGCAGTGTGTTTGTCTGCTGGTCCTCAGTTCTAACATCATACCATTGGTACCGTGGACCTCCTGGCAAATAGCTGCTGCACGCTTCTTCCTCTCTCCAGTTGGCATTGTACAGAATTGTGACATTGTAGCTTTGGCAAGTTTGGCAGAATTCAGGAGTACTGGAAACACATACAGGACACAGGATGTAGTTGTTCTGCCCGAGTCACAAAGTTTAAAGTCTATAAAAGTCTATAAAGTATATCTCCCATTTCCTGTCAGCATCTTTTAGAATTTGAAGATGATTTATAAGGCCCCCGTTAAATAAATCTGCCATATCAGTGTTTGCCATGTTATAATAATCTCTCTGTCGGGGTTAGATTTAATAGATTACAATGTATTGCATAACCGCAAAGCCCTATTGTACTAGGATCGGTTTCCACACACATAATTCTTAAATCTGGCCTCATCACTGGACCGATATTTGAGTTTGAGTAAATGTTAGTGCTATCTCCCTTTCGGTTGTCACAAGATAAATCACCTGTGTAAAGGTCAAGGGTGACTATTGTAAATTTGTATGTGTGGCTGGACACAGTAAGTGTCCAGCAGTACAAAACATTAAACATAATATCCAAAATAACTTTCTTACATTGGCAGTGCCCGGTGATACCACATATTTTTAGCTTTGCTTTGTTGCCAAATGCAAAACATGATGCTACATGGTACAACACTAAATATTACTTGTTTATTGTGACCATCTGCTGAATTTTCAGCAATAATTTCCATGCAAATGACAGAGAGAGAGCAAAGCAATACAATTCTAAAACTAGGAAACATAACAGATAATTTGTCAAATGTTGCGTTTCCATAAAAAAGGAACTTCTATACTTCATAGAAAATCAAAGCCCAATTTTTTTTTTTGTTTAACGTAACTTCTACATAATTTGAATGAACCACATATTCACAAAATAAACCCTGACGACGCTTGTTCGTACCTGTAATGGTATCCCTGGGGTGCAACCTGTATCCTTGAAGGGGAGACACGGAGGCTCAGGGGTCAACCTACAGAAGGTAGTTTGATCTTCCCTGATCTTCACACTCACGGACACTAAAGCTAAACTGTGGCTGTGTCTCTGTGCCTGTTGTGAATGGAATGCCGCTTACATCAATAGGCTAAATTTAACCTGCCAAACACTCAAAACCACTCTCAAACACCATGGGGCAAGGATAGCTACCAGAGAGAGAGAGAGAGAGAGAGAGAGAGAGAGAGAGAGAGAGAGAGAGGATGGACAACACACACACACATGTCCACTGATGTTCTTTGAGGCAAGGACTCCCCTACAAAAATTTTTTTGTATATATACACATGATCTAAAAAGAATTTATACCAATGTAGTGGTAAGTAACAAACAATAAACAGTACTTTACTGGACATACTGGACATTTAATCTTTAAATCGTTAAAAAAATGTTGAGATATGAAAGTTACTGTCAATTTTTGAACCAGTGTAAACTGCATTGTGTTATTTTAAAACATTGGTATACAATTATTGAATAAAGAAAGATGACTCAAAACCATCTGCACTACTTTTCAAATTATATCACAATGTGGATTAAAGCAACAACAAAAAAACAATGCGCGTTTTCTTGTCTTTTATTTTTTCAGTTTGTGTTGAACAGGTGCAAAAACTTAAAATTTTCTTCAAGGAAATCATCAAACACAGGGTAAAGCCCCCCCCCAAAAATGAGCAAGAAACATGACTACATCATTCATATTGAAACCCTGAAGCTCAATGGCAAAATCTGTTGTTCTGTTTACATTTTAACACCACACAGTGTGTGATCAAAGGTGGGATACGTCATGTATGTATGCATGCAACTTTTATTTCTCTTGACTTAAAAACACATTAAATAGAATCAAAATAGCTTAAATCCATTTTAAAATATCACATGTGGGTCATCAGTTTGAAAAAAGTCAATGTTAAGATGCAACACTTATTAATTGTGTGTGTGTCATTGAGCAGTCGCTAGAAAGTGCTGCAGATGATTAGAAATGTTCACTCTATACTTGCCATCACCACTAGTAGTGAGAGAAAAAGCAGGATAAAACAAGATGAGTAACACCTGTAATTGTTATCGTTGTATGAAATGTTGACATGTGCAGAAGTGATAACAAAGTCACAGTGAGTTTTTAAGCAACAGTAAAGATACTTGATGGAAAAGCCACACAATCAGAGTGCCTTATTTCTCACTAAATATTTATAACCAATAATGTAAAAATGAGCAACACCGATCTACATTGAAAAAAAGCAATCTACCAAACATTTATTTCATCTACTACACGTTCACTTTGGCTCTCATAACACTGTTCTGATTCACTTCTCTCCTAGATCAGTCTGAAACAAACGGATACAACATAATGACTGAGAAATAACCAATTATCCACAATTGCAAAATCTCCCATCAATGCTCAGCGGGGTAATATCTCATCAGCAACACAACACAACAGCTGCGGTAAGTCGTTGTGCTCTTCTAAACAAGTGGCCACTCGTACCATGAAGATAGCAACATTTATGACTCCATCAGCAACTTCAAACAAACCTAGTAAATTGTGTAAAATATGCCTGAGTCTCAGACCTACTGGAGAAGCTTAAAAATGGTTCCATTACAATAGAACAAACATATTGTATCTCTTTAAGCCAAATTTGCTTTTTTTGTGTTTCATGTCCGAGAAACCTTTTTTTACCATAATTCATGTATATTGGTTTAAAAGTATACTTCTCTTCATCGGCTGTATGTCTGACCTCATCTTAGTGGTATTAACTGTTCTGGACTGCACTAGGCATTGGGGAGTACTTTGTTGGACCGGAGCCTTGTCCCATGTATCCAATACTGGCCCTGCTGACAGGCCTCAGAGGCTGAGCAGGTCTGAAGGGAGGCCCATAGAAGGCTGGTCTCTCAGGTGAAAATGTGCTCATGAACGGTGCCTGAAAAGCTGGGGCCGCATGATAATGACCCATGCTGACAGGTGCAGGATCGAGAGACACCCTACGCTTCCATTCATCCGGAGGCTCTGGCAGAGATCTACGGTGCCCTGCAGCTTTGACATTAGAGGCAACAGATGACGAGAGGCTCTTAAACACAAAGGCATCATCCACTGAACCAATTAGGCTTCTGGAAGCCGCCTCCCACGGAGACAGTGGCTTGTAGACCTTTTCTTGAAAGGACAATTGCCTCTGTGTTGGTAAAAATGACGATTGGATTCCAGGTGTGCTCACAGGTGACAAAAGTCTGGGAGAAGGCATCGAATTCAGTCGCTTGGGGAGGCTCAGGGAGCGGCTTCTTCCAAAGCCCTGAAAAGAAAATCACATATCAGTTGACTGGTGTGACTGCAGCATTGCAGACTTTGCTGCCACCCACTGGATTAATTTAAGCCTCGACAATAAATTTGTAATTTATTTATGTTTCTTTTTTTAGATTAAATTACTAAAAGTTTTATTGAACAAAAGGGCAAAAAGAAATGAATGATAATCTTGCTAAAATAACAGTAATATTACCCACTGGCAGAAAAAAAGTCGAAGAGGCTCTTAAGATGCAAAAATAACACATTTATTCAAAGAACGCACACCTTTTGTCACATTTAATCACATTATGTTACTTATTGCACATACTATTTTGCATCTTAAGAACCTCTTGTGCTTTTTCTGTTTTTGTAGTTTTATTATTAAATGGGACTTTGGAATTCTGGCTACACACACACACCTGACAACATCTTTCCAAAATTCTGGATTCAACTGTGCAAACCCTTTCACAAGATTATCTAACTTAAAACATTTCAAATATATAGATCAACTAGAGGATTGAGTTTTTCGTTTAATACCAAAAAATATTTGAGTGATATAAACGTATGGATGAGATTTGAATTAAAGTCGTGAAGCATCATGAAACATTTGATAAATGTTGATTTAAGAACTTACCTGCTGTTGGTTAAATAAACTTGAAATAAGTACAGTGGCAATATTACTACTATCACAGATTTAAAAGATGATGAACCTTTGTTTGGAACCATATCTGTGCCCCCTTTTCTTTGATTAATCTGCTTAAAGAGAAAATCCACTCTAAAATACAATTCACATGTTAGTTTCATTTCGTATTTCCATTATGGGTCACTTCACCAATTTTGTAATAAAACGTTTTTAAACACCTAGAACACCCAGGTAAACTTTAATTTGTCCCACATTGGCAAGTGCATTATACAACAGCAATATACCCATTGCTGTTCTCCTTTAAGTCGTATCTGACCTGTACTGCAACCTATACTTTCTCAAATCTTGTACATCACTGTTTTAATTATCAATATTCAGGGAAACTTGACTACCAACAACATCTTTCTTTTCTGCAGTTTGGCCACCTCATTATTAGCTCATCTAGCAGCCTTTACCAGCAGATGTATGAGACAAACATTTATCAACCATATTGCCACAGTAATATAGCCGCAGTCCTGTTTGTGATTGGTTGTTTCTTTTGGTTTAAATCAGCTAAAGTAAAAGATGTCCAGCACACGAGTAGCTTAACATTAGCATTAACATTAGCCACTATTAATAGCTAGTGCTCAGAGCTAATAAGGATGTCTGACTGATACTCCTCCTCTGACAAACCAGTTTTTGCATTGCTGTTTATCAATTCAATATTGTTTTTATTTCTCACACAAGCAGACCAATATATATATGTATATATATATATTTCTCACACAAGCAGAGAAAAAAAAAGTATATATATATATATAGCTGAGCACTAAATATATTCTAAAATACTTCTATTAAATGCAGGTAACATACTTTTTTTTGGTGACAGTACATACTTGCTCAATAAGTCATTGGAATAGCAAAATGTAAATCTTGCTTTAGGGTGGATTTCACTTCAGTAGTTTGTCATAGACGTCCGACAAAAGTGTGCAGAAAATCTTTTGAGGGCCGAGATCTTGGTTCCAAACCTTTCACATTTAGAGTTAAAGGTGGACTGATGGAAAAGTTGTGATAACAAACAAGCACAACGGTCCAGAAACATAAAGTCATACTAGTCAGTGACAGTGTTAACCTTCAGCAATTTACTATCTTACATTATTAAGAGCAAACAGTATTGAAAATAGTCAATGAATCTTAAAACTGATATCGCTGAAGGTGCAGTAAATATAAGTAAATTCTGTGTGAAAGCGTGAGGCAGTGAGAAAGATGAAGCAGGAAATATAAATCACTCAGAAAAAAGTAGTGATACAGTAGTTCAGGAAAAAGAAGCTCATGACACACACAGGAAGTTCACAAGTAGAGCGAAAGAGAAATTTAATAGCATGGTTGTGCTGAGAACAAGAAGTGCAAATATGTTTGAAAGACAGAGATATAAACACAAACAAGACAATTGTTTCCTTTTTTCATTTTGAGTTGCTAATGGTAATGTGAATAAATCTCTAGATCTCAAATCTCTGTGATATCTCATGTTTTACAGGATTAGGATACAGAATGCCTGATGATTTTACCGACAGTTAAATAACTGGCCATAACCGACAACTGCAGAAAATACATCCACATAAAAAAATATTTAAAGTCATAAGGGTTTATAATCACAACTAAAGCTAGTGCTTTTAGCTGATGCCATTGAAGTTTTGGAATGAGACTGAAGGAATTGCAAATTGCATGCATCCAAAAAGAGAAGTGCATTGACAGTTTCTCCCCAGGCACGCTAAATGATCAAACATATTCAGTAAATATAATCGTGAGTTATTGTTTTCTCAGATGGCATGAAAAGTCATTTTTAACTGATGTTTAAAACAAATGTATTAATAAATGATATTACTGGGCTGCTTTTGGGGTCAGTGATGACTACTACTAGACATAAGTGCACGTAATCTTAATCCTTACAAAAGAAAAACAACTAAAGAAAGAAAAACTCAAAAAGACATCAGCTGAACAAGGCTCTCTGCACACATTATTGCACATGTGATAGCACTTCCTGAGAATCACTCAACATTATCTAGTCTCACATTTCCTTTTTCAAGCACGCATGCACCTCCCGAGTTCGAGGAAGATATGTAATACTAAATTATTTATTTGTGTATTTATTTTAGTTTGTATTCTATTGATTTACAATATTAAGCTAGCTTTCCTGTACATTCAACATATTTCCTCACATTACCAGCTAAATATATCCTTATAGATGGATACTGTCAATTATTTTGGACGTGACATACATTTAGACTGTCTGTACATGTCCACCTGTTGAGTAAGACATTTTAGATGATACCGCGTTGCATATGTAATTGTGTTCTATCGTCTCAACGGTGACTACACCAAAGCATGACCATATACAGTATTAGAGCTAATAAAGCGCAGCAACAGGTCTCCAATGTTTGCCTGTCACCACTGGCTTCTTTGCAGAAAACTTTGGGCGAGGTGCCATTTGACGTGCGCCTCTAGCAATAAGAGATGCAGGAGAAAAAGCTGAAGCAATGCTGTCACCAATAGATGAATGCTGGGAGGATGCGCTTGCAGGTCGGGCACTTGGTGCTTGCTTGTCAGTTTTGTGATGGGCTGTATAGGTGACAGTGTGCTTTTTAGCCAAGCGCTTGTCGGTTGCAAGAGGCTCAACAGATCTTGTGCTTTGGCGGGCAGAAGAATTTTGGGAACTTACCGATACAGGAGACTTAGCAGGAACTTCTACCTTGCTTTGAACAACAAGCTCAGAGGCGTTATAAGGAGAATGAGAAGGGGCAGATCTATGTTTAAAGCTTTTGATGGCCTCAAACTTTGATGCTGGACCTGGTTTAGGGCTGGGGCTTTTGGCCTCAGTTACTGCCTCATACTTAAATAGTGAAGAGTCCAACTGATAGGGCTGATGTTTCATAATATCTAAGGTGTTGAGGTGCTTTGGGGCTGCTTTAGGTTTCTCTTTGGTCTTAGGCTTGATTTGGGGGCTTGTGGAAGGGGGTTGCTTGGCTGCTGATGGAGGATAGAAAGGAGCAAGAAGGGGATTGTATGATGAAGGAGGTGGGGCACGAACGATGGAAGAATATCTCCAGGAGTTAGGGAGTGATGGGGCTGGGGAGAGGGATCTTATTTTGTTAGCGTGCACCGTTTCAGCATCGACAACAAACTTCTCCATACGGGACTGTCTTTTGGCAAACAACTCTGCACCTTTTCCCGCCATAGTTGGACCATCGCCAGCCCGAGAAGTACCTCTGCCCGAGACTCGACCCTTTGGTGAAGCCTGTGATGCTTTTGATCCATGGGCGTTTGACTTCCCTGCTTGTGGTGGGCAAGAGGCAACTGAGTTGTGAGTACTGTCTAACTTATTCCTTGAGGGTGAGGGTGGCTGATGTGGGCTGTAAGTAGGACTGCAGGCCTGCATACTCACTGGGGTTCGTGATGGCTGCTGACTCCAGCTATTTGTTGTTGGCTGAAGATGAAGCTGAGAAGAGGAGTTGACAGGAGCCCAGGCATTGGCAGGTGTTTGAAGTGTTGCCCGAGGTTGATCTGGTGCCCAATGGTTGACCATCTGTTGAGTTTGAGCCCAATCTTGCTGCTGTAAGTAATGCTGACTATGAGGCCCCACATGACTGTGAGCGGGTTGTGAAAGTGGACTTCTTGGTTGAATATAGGGCTCACAAGAGGGGCTCCTACTCATCCAAGGTGGACAGGCTGGGTTGATGGTAGGTTTTGGGGCAACCGGTGGGGGATTCTTGAGTTTTATTGTTCTTGGTTGCATGAAGTTACAAGCTTCAGCACCTAGACTAAAACAGTCTTCCTCTGACTCAATAAAATACCTCCTTTCCCCTTTGTTTTGAAGGTGATGATCTTTATTAGTGGCTTTCCTTTTAGACTCTGGAAGGATGCCGGTCTTTATTGCTGGCACAGATATTCGCTCATCTCTTGAGGCTATGATTTCTCCAGTTGGGGACCAAACTTGCGGGCTAGTGTTAATAGGCACAGGTACTCTGAATCTTGGTTCTTGTCTCTTTCTCACTGGAACAACGCCGCCAGGCATGATAGGAGCAGTTGTGCTGGAGGGAAATCCTAGGAAAGGCTTCGCAGTTCTGTTTGGCACCAACGGTCTTGGCACGTTGGATAGGTGGTTCATCTGTTGAATACTTTCTTGGTATTCTTCGTGCTGCCTACGTTTTGCATCCATGTAGGTGGCCTGATCAGTATGTACGTACATTTCCTCATTGTCATAAACATTCTGTGCTTCTGTACATTCGGGTTCTCGTAATATCTCCACAGGTAATCCTTTATTCCTCAGGTCTTCATGCTCTGACACTATTTCATCCATACGTTTGCGGCGTTGGGCAAACATCATAACACCCTTTCCTTTTGTTTCTTGTAGTGCTTCCATTTCTCTACCACTTTCCCAATTCAGACTTATATTGTGCTGGTGCTGATAAACAGAATAGTCGTCTTCTAACTCAGATTCACTTGTTGCCACAAAGTTATAACCAGCTGATCTGACTTCAGTTTCCTCCTCTATTTGGTCTTCGCTGTCAAGCTTTTTCTCCCCAGTCCCGTAACTCACAAGTGTATACTTCTTGACCCTCTGGCGGCGTTTTTTAAACAACAAGGCTCCCTTATTTTGAGGGTTGGGTGCATCCGTTAGAAGCCGAGCGATACGCTTACATTTGGACTTGGTCTCCTTGACGTGTCTTTCTGATTGGCTCTCGTTGTGACTGAGCCCTGAGGCAAAAGAGAGAGAGGGACAGTGAGAACAAAAGAAGGGAGGTGAAGAAGATGGAAACATATACTCATTTCATTTTGATATTTTGTCAGTCAGTGGACATGTAAGAAGCTACAGTTTTTAACTGATCAATGCTCAGAAAAGTAAAACAATGAACTAATGCTTGATATTTGGGGATTTTAAAGCAAGCACACTAATAAGAAGTAAAGAAAATCTAAAATCGGCCCCTGCTGAAGCCAGCACACTAATAAAAGCATCATATTCACTTACAGCTAACTTGGGGGAGTCCATTAGGAAAGAAAAATGAGGAGCTCACTTTCCATTGCCGTCAAGTCTTACGATTGGAAAAGGGATCGGGTGACAGGCCCGGGGTGACACATGCTGGTGTCTGTCAAATTTGTTTCTGCCAGCCTCATCGTATGGTCATATTTTATTCTTAACCCGCTCTGACTTTTATAGCCATGGGAATTCTCCCTGTAAGTCCACCTCAAATAGATCCCACGTTACAGCATGAAAATAACCAGCACCCATAGGGCTTTGCACAAGTTATATATGAAATGAAGTCTTCATTTAACACCAACAATAATTACAGGCAGAGAAACGTAATTTAAGATAATTATCCCCAAAAAAAACAAGCAAACACAAAATGATATCTTGTCTATTAATAAGTTGTACATTTTTTAAATTAAGAACAAAAATAATTTGGAATATGCTGTATAGTTTGCACTACTAGCTTCATGTGTCTAACAAGTGAGGGTAGAAGACAGATACTTACGTGTGGACCTTGCCCTCTGCCTGTCCGGTCTGCAGAGATCTGTGTCAGACTCTGAGTTCCACTTCCCTGCCTGCTCAGCAGCCTTGTCTGAAATTCCAAAGAAGAGAGAAGCAGGAGGTGCTTCACTACTCCCTCCTTCCTCTGAAGATTCAACCCTCCTGTTCACAGTCCCTAGGCTCTGCCTACCTCTGGCTCCCAGGGGCTGCTCTGTGGTCAGGGTCAAGGCCAGGGTCATGTCAGCTGCACGGCCAAGAGAGGACGAAGAAGAATGCGAATGTGGCTGTGATATCTGGCTGGCGTGAGGCTCAAAGTTGGGGCGCTCTGGGTGTGGGGACAGTGATGTTGGTGAGGGTTGAATTTGAGGAGACTCTGTAATGGACTCTCCAGATTCACTAAGGTAGATGTCATCCTCTTCTTGATATGAAGCCTCCTCTTCACTTCCGCAGAGTTCAGGCAGGGACTGTTGCTCACCTGCAGATTCCCAGTCTTGTGACTGAAGGCATGCTGGGGACTCGAGATCAGAATTCAGGATTTCAGCAGGTAGAGGGTCTAAAGGGTACTCTTCATCACTGGCATCATCACACTGTTCCCCAGAACCATCTGAACCTGACCAAGGGACCAAGTTATCATTGTTGTCTGGGTCTTCAGCTTCTGGTTCCATCTCTAATGTGGTTTCACAATGTCCTGGGTATCACCAATAATACCTTCATTAAGACAAAAACAAACAGGCCAAGGAGCCTTTTGAAAAATAGTTCACATTTTTGCACAGACATTTTTGTAGAAATATTCAAATTCTAACAATTATGACCATGAACTCCTTTTGATTATTGGGAGTTCAATATAATATAGGATTATTGTTCAGATAAAGAGATGTCAGATTAGTACACTTTTTAGTATTTCGAACTACAATGTAATTGTCTGAATTATTCCTATCCCCAATAGGAAGTGCAGCTTTTCTTTGGCAGTTACATCGGGGCTGCCATCGCTCTACATGGAATGGTATGTAATATCAAGGGGGGAAACTGCATTCACATCCAAGAGGATAAGCAAAACAATCGGGAGGCTGTTTTCCGAACTCCTGTTTATACAGTGAGGTTTCTTCCATTTCGCTGCTCTCATCTATCACTGCAACAAACAGCACTGCAATTCACATCTCCATTTAAGAACTGAATCTCAGAGACTATTTGTTTTATACATAGTAGAAATACTAGGCCTCCTACTCCCTCACTTAAAGCCGGTGTTTGTTTTGTTACTCAAGTTAAATCATATCAACATAAGGTTTAGCACCACACGCTACCAGTCCCAGCTGTGGCGACATTGGTACAGCTGTCTCTTAGTAAGGCATTGCTAGGCCTATGTACTTTTATTGTTTGTGTCTGTCATTTTATGTATTTGTCTCTATGGTTTGTGTCTGTCATTTTATGTATTTGTCTCTATGGACCCTGAGTCTGAAATAAAGTCTATCTATCTATCTATCCATCTATCTATCAAAGAGGCTTCCAAAGTATTCCCTCAAATTATTCTGGTAATCAGTTATTGTATCAAAATCAATGGTAGAAAATTATTCGATTGATTAAATTATCCAGTGCAAAACAGCTGCTGTCAATGTTTTTCCATACAATAATTTTAGCTAAGACTGACATTAAAACACAAAGTTTTGCTGCTTAGACTTTTTTTCAGGTTAGTATAGGGAAATTAACAGAAATGATTGCCTTCATAACCTAATATAAAAATGAATAATCAACATCATGCTGAAATTGTTCATGTTAGTTCTGACCCAATGTTTATCTATAGACCAGTGCTCAAAACAAAGAATGTTTCAGCAGTCTGCTACCGGTTCGAAAACTGCAGGGAATCCAAAACATGAAGGTTTTACTGCAAACACAAGCCCTTTATAGTCCAAACATATATACTGACATCCAACAGAGGGTGGCGCCATTGTAGAGAATGACTTGGATAGATTCACCTCCTGATCACCAGATTAAAACTAAAAAGACTGTAAAAACTTCTTTTTTAGGGGGGATTTACACACATAATTCACCTTTTCATAGTATTTATAATATACCAAATTCCAGCTGTTCAATAAACAGATTGTAGTGTGTAAGATAAAAAAGGTCAGAGGCTATAATGCACATGTGCATCAGTTCTTCAGTGTCAGAGTAATTTTGTGGAGATTGAGGCTGTTTGCTGTATGTTTGTATGCTGTATGTCACTGTGAAGACACCATTGTCCTTCCTTCAACAGATACCAGCCACAGTAGCAAACATTCAACCTAAACAGCTGAAGACTTGTTTTGAGGCCAATAAAGTGCCACATTGTTCCAAAATGCTCAATAACTTTTTTTCTACGCAGTTGCAGACGCACACATCCAACAGAATCAATAACTTAATTTGGTGAGCCAAAAAAAATAAAATAAAATGAATATGCCCAAAGTCTAACCAGAGAATAAAACAATTTAATCAATATCACTAGCGTCTAAGTCTAAAGGCATGCAAGCATCCTGTACTAACGTCACAAAACACAAGTGTCGGACACTACAAGCTGATGATTTGCTATTATTAGATTCTTGTCGAAAGAGTAGAGGTTTGTTCTGAAGGTGGCGCGAGAGGGAATGTAATTTCAAATCAAAAGTGTTTTTTCCATGGAGGTCTGGAAGTTCAATATCAATCTGCCAACTGCAAGATTATGAGTTGAGATTTTGGCTTAAAAAATAATGCTTGAAATGTCAATCTACGACTTTAGATTTCAATAATAATTTGTACAAGAGGACATTGGCTCATGGTAGCACTAGAGGTGAAGTAAAGGTCAACACGAGGATTCATCCATTGTGGACCAATAAATATCCAAATAATCGTCACACCAATCTATAGATCTATAAAGAGCTTTATGAAACAAAGCATTTGGTAAGTGGTGAGACAGACTGACATCTATAGCGGAATCAGTTATTTACAAGATTTCACACTTCAGTACATCTGTATTTCACAAATTTACTTCTGTTCAGATTAGTCAATTTCTCTGGTTTACACACTTAGAGAAGCATTGAGTCCACTGCACGAAAATCTTGAATGTTGACATGTCATATAAAGGTTTGATATGATTTGTAATCAATTGAAAACCAAATGTATCTTTGTTGATCACGCTCTGTCGTGAATAGGAATAAAACAATTTGTTTTGCAATATTAATTAACACATTTGAATTTCAATGTTAAACAGATTTAGTTTACAACAAATTTACAAAAATGCATACTTATTACATACAGTGTCTCCCAGATTAGATATTGGCTGACTTTGTTTTTGTAATGGTAATTTACTAGCCCTCCTGTCACGCACTTACGTATGAGCATTTGCTCTAAAAACAGATTTAATCCATAAAAACAGGAAAGTAGGACATTGTAGCTGTTGCTCAACTGCATCAGGAGTGACTGAACATCGTTGATGACAAAAAGCAACAATCAACAATAAAACAAACAGTTCATGCACACATTTTTTTATTTGCAGCATGTGGCATGGCTTTGGATAACCTTTGGATTGAAGGCTGTTGAAGGCTCAGGTGAATTGCATTCACCATACATTTTCTTTCATCTATACTGCTATCAAGAGGCCCTCTGACACATGCAGCTGCAGGATTATTTAAAGACACAGACTCTTGGACACTTTGTCTTCTGCCAACGCTTCTCTTCACACTTGGTTCCACTTCGTTTTAACACTCAACCATCATCAAGCCTTACTTTGGTGCTGAAGGAGTTTCTGTTTCCTAGTATGGCAGTAATTTCAGCATGTTGACTCATTGCCATGGAAACAGGGAGTCAGCATCCTTGACTAACGACTGAACTCTTGGTCTGGGGGATGACCCCAGCGAGGATTGAGCTTTAGCAGATTAGATGTTTCCACACAATTAGACTGCCTTACTTTAACCGCTAATGAGAAACATACACCTGTTAAACAGCCACAAATACATTTTTAGTACTCCCATCATGAGCCTTACAACAGAACAACAATCCGCTGAATACACAGCTTGGACCAGTATTCACCAACATAGATGTTGCAATCAGTAAGTACACAAAGACTGACTGAATTATATTGAAGCCATAATTAAATCGGTGCATCAGTGATTAGAGAGATATATCTTACTATTGAATCGTTTATCATAGAGCAGAGAGCCATAGAATCTCAATGAACAGAATAAAACAGAACTGATATGAGACTAAGTTTAGGCTGGTCCTCTTTTACTACACATATGTGTCCATCAAACCCAAAAGCAGGCAGACTATGAGATAATCTCACTAAATTAAATTCTCAACAGCAGGGTTCATGAAAGAGAGAGATATGGCTTATGGTACAAGAAAGCCGCTATCAAAAGATAGAAGGTGGATCGAGGAATTAGTCGTAAAACATCATCCATTACTCACAGTAATCGTCCCTGAAGCAGCTGTAAAAGACAAAAAGTCTCTCCAAAAAACGAAAAGCCTCATCAGTCGAAGAATCTGAGCACTTGTTGTGGAGTCCAGATGTTCAGGTTCAGGTCCTGCCACCTTGCTCATAGTGTAGGATTGCTCATTCACGTATGCTACTGTATTTAAAGAGAGAGAAGAAAAAAGTATTCCTGCCCCCAACCTCCTTCAGACACAGCTCAGTTAGCATCGTTCTGCTGCAGCGCGTCAACATAATGAACTGGTCCTCAGAAAACATTGCTTATTTTCATATTTTAGAGTGATTTGAAATGTGCCTTTGCTTGTTATTAGTGCAGGAGTTATGCTTTTAATAATATTTTAGCTGGTTAACTCCTGAAAGAAATACATAAATTAACAAACTGCCATTTGTATAATGAACACAGACTTACCGCATGTTGCTCTTCAACCACTACAGTTACATGTTGCCATAATGAGCATTTGCCCATAGCAGTCAATTAGGTTATGAAATAGGGTTGCATATTAAAAAGCTGCTGTACAGAAAATAGATGAGGTAAGACTGTCGTTCTTTGACAGGATGCCCGTACATGGAACTAAATCTGAGTTTTAAACCATGGTTTGCAGAAGTAATAGAGAATGGAGAAACTACTCTACAGCTGCAGTCCTGCCCTGATGGTCACATTCAGTCATTATTTCCAGTCAGATTAAAATTGATAGTCTACTTATGTATTTATTAATAGTTGTTTTGTTTTCGGCAAAGTATACTCTGCTTACCAAGTGAAGATAAATCAATGGTTTGTTTATTTCCTTAGTGATTATTGCTTCCATGCATTTGTTTTTATCCCCATGGCCCTGTTTTGGAAATGATGATCTACCTCAATATAAAAGTGTGTTGCAAATCTGAGTGGCTGCATTGCTATCGAGTGCTTGTATTTGTGTATTAAGCATTAAGCACATTCAATTTCCTCTCATTGAGCAGCTGCCCTCCTTTTTTTCTGGGTATATTGTAAACTAACATGAAGTGTTACAAACAAAAATGTATGTTAAATCAGGACTGCCAAAATACTTATTGTGTCGTTAATATTTTTTCTATGTAATGTCAGAAAATTCCGGGAAATGCTGATGATAGTTTCAGAAATGAAGCATTATAGATAGAAGTGAAGTATTTAAGCAATAAGCCATGAGAGACAGTGATTTTACAACAGCTACGGGGCATTGTTAGCGGACAGCTTGCTATCTACTAGGCCTGCTATTGTAGAGCGGAGGTCAACATCTGTCCTAAGGCTCGATAGGTTTATTGGACATTCTGTGGTATTTAAATGTAAAATTACAGCAATGCCTGGCAGCGTAGATGCCATAAATCATATCACAGAATGTTGTCATTGTTTTAAAGAGTCTCTATACACCAAATGTCCACCCACACAATTGTTAGACCTCATCTCAGGACAGTGTGGGCATGTATTGACGGCATGTGTTTAATTTCCTTGACTCACCTGCTTGTTATACCGCATGTGTAATGGTCACTAAAGAATGAGTAAAGGAAAAGCAAAGGCATTACGATGGCTCCGTTCCATTCAGGTGTCCTAGTAATGACAGTGTGACAGTTGACACGGCATATTCAACTTTAGTTTCACTTCACATTCTCTGGTGATGTCCATCCCCTCTGCATTGACTCTGTGAGACAGTGGACAATGTCATAGACCTGGATTTTATTTACTTTAACAATCTGATGCAAAATCCACTCAAAGAAAGAAAGAAAGAAAAAAGAAATAATGCTTCCTCAACTGTTCTTCCTGTCCTATTAGTAGTCAAATTTGCCCTGCACTTTTAGTTACATAAATCTGGCAATGTTGATATATATTAGTGTGCCAGGTTGAATGTTTCCTTTATTAGGGAACTTTGCCACCATACAAAGTATTTAACACAGATTTATCAATCAACAATACTGACAGGCAGAATGCAAACACTGGCACACAAGTTTCCCAAAGACAAGAAAATAATATAGATTATTTCGTTTTCTTCTTCTTTCAACCCCACTTCCTGTCAGTCTCTGTCAGTCTCTTTCCCTGACAAGCACACACATGAACTAATCACACATAATCTAATCAATTAATTGTGTGATTCAGCTTAGCCCTTGGAGTTGAAAATGGACAGTTTATCCAGGTATGTGAGAGTCTTGCAGATCAACAGGCCAGTGTAGGTCTGTAACAGTGAGCATCTTCCCTTCTGCTCCAGTTCTGCCCACACTCTTTCTAGTTCATGGCTTTCCATCACTGCTGAGCTGAACAGATAAAGGTAACAGCAGGCGTTGTAGCGGATATGTTTCTCTCCTGAGAACCTAGAGCTGTGGATTGGTGTCACACCAGCCTTCTGAGCACAAAGGCCCACAAAAACATCAGCAGGCACGGGTGCACGGACTGCTGCAGACGCCACATACACTTTTCGGACCACATCCTGGGATAGAACATAGGCCGTCTCGTCACAGTATTCAGGCAGGTGCTTCTCAGGGTAAAGCGCTGGGGGCAGGTAGCCAAGACTGCGAGGGTCCCGGTCAGGGGAGTCTTGTTGGATCACCCTACCTAAATAAATGTCCTCAGGGTGCATGTGCAGCCCAAGTAGGTAGCCTCCGATGGCAGGGAGGTTCACAAACACAGAGTTCTTGGTCAGCAGAACAAAGCGAGCCACGGGGCAGAAGGCGATCACCCAGCGGAGTGCCAATACTGTCCTTTCTGTTGGGCCACGGAGGGACGAGTCAGCCACAGCATGACCCTGGACCATGTCCCCATGGCGGTCAGACTCTATCATGAGGGCCTTTTGTGCAGCGAAAGTCTCAGTTGATCCTAGGAAAAACAGTATCCGCACTGGGAAGCCTTGGATGAGCGTTTGGTTGGCCCATGTCTTCCTGACTGCATCTCTTTGGGTGATATTAGCTGTGGAGCTGAAGACCAGAGTGAGGAGGAAGAGGTCAGAGTTTCTGCAGGCGTTAGGGTTAGTTATTGGGTAGTCCTGGGAAATGTTCTCCCTAGCATTGTTCAGATCTAGTTTCCTTGCTCTCTCCCTTACATCAACAACCATGCCATCAGTGTAGACCCCAGGCGTGGGCTGCAGGAGATACTCCTCGACAAAGTCTGCCCCAAACAACAGGGCATGGAAGAGGAGGACATTGAAAAGGAGGAAACACCACTGGTGGGTTCGCAGCTTGCACAGAGAGCACTAGAGCATGAGAGTAAAAAAGACAGAGTATGAATCACCATAAAGGTAGCCAATTGAACTTACATTATAATGTTTAAGCTGCAAATAAATAAAACTGTACCTGCATGACACCTGTCTTAACAGCCTTGTTGTTTCTCTGTGTGTATTAGCCGTCTGTGATCAGAGGACCTCCCTCTGTTGTCGCTTCAACAACAATAGCTGACCGACAGGGTTTCCACTTTCATGAAACTCTAGCAGCATGTAACCCTGCACCCCAAGTCACATGCTTCATCAAGAGTTGCCTGCATCATGCTTACAATATTAATGATACCGAGAAGAAACAGTTTGATCATACCACAAGGATATCAAGGACACCCCAAAACATGTTTTAAATGCGTACAAAAGTGTGGTAAACTCTGATTTAAGGCGAATAAAGAAAAACGTTGTCCCTTTCTGCAGAGGAATGTGAAAACACCCTTCTATAGTCAAATGCTGCTCATACAAAACCCACATCAAATATTCAGTAAACTTTCCTAATTTGGGACAGTTTATCAATTGAACGAAATTAATTTTGCTGTAGTCTACCACATTCAAGTTAAGGTTAAAGGTCATGCTCAAGTTTGGGATTAAGCTATAGCTCTTTTGTACAAAATAAGTAAAGCAATTCACAAAGGACTACACAAAAAAGGACGTCTCATAAGCACAACTGAATGGATAGTAACATGACTTCTCATTCATGCATGTTCCCATAAATTAGCTGAACAGTATCAAGCACTGCGATTGTAAAAATACATTATATTAAAAGTGCTGATATTGCACTTGTGGTTAATATTTGTGTTTCCTCCAGGACAAACAATGAAATTATTAGGAACAAGCAATGTGTTATTTGCGAAAATTGGTCTTAGGTTGAATATCAAAAAACAAAGTTGTGGAGAGTAGCTTGCATGTACTTGATCATACAGCACCTTCCTGCTTTGGGGGGAAAGAGGACATTTAATAGTTAACACAACATTTAGGGAGTGGTGGATGTCAAGAAATAGTAGTCATGTTTTGCCATTATTTGTATTAAACTGAAGTGGACAGGTTGGAAGAATATCCATAAATCAAGTGGCGCCTCCCACTCAGCCCAGCAGGTGGCGGTAATGCGCCATGACGTCGGATGTCAACCGCGTGAACTATGAAGAAGTTAACGAGTTCTCCAAAACATTGAAAAGTCATGGCGGCTTCCATAGAGGGTTTACTGGCAGAAATCTCCGATATTGAAGATCCAATTGAGGAGTTACAGAGTTTAAAAACAGCTTTATTGTCGATTCCTCTCAGCACTTTGAAAGACACTCTGAGCGGACAACGTTTCAATGTGATATTCTCTCTGTTGCACTCAAATGAACGGTTGGTTTGACACAGTGCATCTGTTCACATTGTTTAGCAAACTGGTGACTGCTGAGTCACTCTCCTGGTTGTATTGAGTATTAATGTCATTAACAGTTACTTTAACAATGAGTTGATGTACCGATAGTGTACGTTATATAGCTAACGTTAGCTTACAAAGATTGCCTTTTTACCTGTGCTAGTTGTTAGCAAGCTAACTGGCTACAATGCTACAAATACAGTGACACATTTACCCTCATAGAGCCTTTTGTTATTGAAACGAAAATCATATTACGTACTTTGTCACGCGTGTTTGTCTTCTATGCACTAAAATAACTTTGTGCTTTGGTGCAATTTTAATGTGTGTCGTGTGTGAGTAATTGTGATGAGTTTTCATTATTTTCTAACACTTTAAAGATCAAATGGTGAATGAATTAGTTACTAATGTGAGCTGTCTTCACAGGGAGCAGGTTGAGCTGTGTGTGGAAATCCTTGAACGCATCTTATTGGCCCTGAGCCCTGTGTCGCTGGCCCAGAACTACAGAGTGGAACTGCAGGAAGGTCTGACCCATCCTAATGAAACGGTGAAGGTACTGGCCGTGACACAGGTAGGTTTCTCACAAACCACACACACACATGCACTTGCTTTTTAAACCACTGACTTTGCCAAGTTTTTAATGTTTTTCTGAAAGATTGGTAGAATGGTGGCGCACCCAGATGCTGCCACTGAAATCCTCAACAACCATGACATTCTTGGAGCGTTGATCAACTGCATCGGAGAGGAAAACATGGCCGTGGCGAAGCAGGTTGATTTAAGCAAGCACTGAAATATCCTGCATGACATTGTAATGAATCTACGGCGGGTGCAGTGATTGTTTTGTTTCTTAGGCCATCAAGTCCCTGTCCAAACTGAGTCACTCCAAGCCTGGGTTAGACATGTTGTTCCAGAGCGACCTGCTGAAAGTTATGAAGGATGTGATGGCCACAAGCAACGTAGTCAGATACAGAATATATGAGGTATGTTCAACTTTGTGTGTTGTGTTGTTGTTCTTTTTAAAGTACATTTATTTTGATGGGATCGGTGGAAAAGATGACCAATGATAACAAGAGATCGTGCTAGAATGTGGGCACTTAGATTTAGTTCTATCAAAGTCTGTCTGTAATGCGTAGTAACATACCCA